GATGCCAACTCGGGGCTCCCGCCGGTGGCGCGGGCGACCGAGGTCGATGAACTCGCGGCTCGTCGCTGTAGGTATAGCGAGCCGGGCGATTTCTTCTCTGTTTCGCAGTGTGTTTCGTGCTCCCGCCGCTATGCTGACCCGGTGGCGGTGCTTTTCGACTTCGTGGCGGCGCGTGCTCGGTGCGAATTTCTATGTGCGCGTCCACTCTTCTATTTGTCTTCGATAATGGTCGATGATCGATTTTTCGGTTTTCGTTCTTCGGTCGATTTTCTATTTTCGGTCGATTTTCGATCTTCGGTCGATTGTTGACGATGTTGACTTTTTCTATAGTGTTGCGCGCGTGTGTGCCGTGTAGGACCCATCCGAGCGCGGTTTTCGATGCGGCGAGCTGTTTTCGGCTTCCTCTTCGGACTTCGCTGGCGATAAGGAGGTCCCAATTGTCTTGACCGATCAAAATGGTGGGACGGGCGTCTTCGTATACGAGGTGCTTTTCTAAGTCTCGGAGGTGCTTGCAGTCACGTAGGCAATGTGGCTCGACCGTTTGTGATGAAATTTTCATGCGCCGAATAGTGCGCGCTTCTATGTCGAAGCCCTCCGTCTGTCCCTCGATGTTGAAGGCGACTCGTTTCGATTGTGTTTCGGGCAGCTCGGCGTCTATGGTTTCGATCTGGAACTCTTCGGTTGGCCCGTCGGCGCCTATCTTCTCGGCGGCTCGCTCTTCTATTAGTGTCACGGTGGAGCCGTCGTCGAGCAGTGCGTAGGTATCGAAATGACCTCGCGGTCCGGTGATGCGTACTGGAACTATCTTCAGATACGTGTCGCGCTTGCGGCTGCTGTGCGTGCTGGCTACTCGTTCGGTTTCTATTTTTTCTGTTCGATGCGGTGGCGACTCCTCTTCTTGATCGATTTTCTGTTTGAAGTGAAGTAGCGGATGATGAGTGCGTTCGCAGCCATCTCTGTTGCACGCGCGCGGTGTGCAGTAGTGTGTTCTGTTTCTATACTGAAGGCACTTGTAGCACAGGTTGCTCTGCTTCGCTATTTCCCAGCGGCGTTCTCGGTTAGCGGCCTTCAGTGTTGCGCAGTCGACCGGTGTATGTTTTAGTTCCGCGCAGACAGGGCACGGGACGTCTTCGACGTAATATCTTCTATTTCTATCTTCGATATTTTTTCTTTCTTGACCTTCTATGCTGTGTGCTCGAAATCTTCTTTGCGAAGTAGAGTGTTCTTCACTCCCGATGTATTCCGGTGGGGCGTATCTTGCGTTGTTTTCTGCCTCGACTTCTATAAACTCGGCGAACAATAATAATTCCGGTTGCGACTTCAATTTTTCTATGTTTCTATGTTGGTTGGCGAAGTCGTTCCAGCGAAAACGAATGGTCGATGGCAGCTTTTCTATAATTGTCTTCATGATGTCCGGCGCACGTAGGTACTCGTTTTGCCCCAGTACTTGTAGTGCGACGACGCTATTCTTGATTTTGTTTGCAAAAATCACGATGTCCCTCGGCGAATCGGTGAGTCGGGGTAAATGGCGCAGCTTTTCTATTTCGGTTGCGGCGATGTTGTCCGGGCGGCCGAATCTGTGTTCCAATTGCTTCATAATGTCGCCCGGCGTAGTGTTGCTTATTAGCATGCTGCCCACGGCTTCTCTTGCCTTCCCCTTGAGGGCTCTTCTTAATCTTGATGAGTTTTCCGCCGACGATAGGTAGGTTGCGGATTCTAGGTACGCCGCCCTGAAGGTGAGCCATTCTGTGTGCGCGCCGCTGAAGGGTGGCAGCTCTCCGACGTAGCGTGGACCCGGTGCAGGCGGTACGGCGGCACGGACGGCGGCGTTGATTGCGACGGCCAGCTCGGAGACGTTCATTCTGTCTTGCTGGACCGGCGGTGGCGGTGGCGGCAACGTAGGGGCGACTTGTTCTTGAGCTTCATCAATGCGGGACGGCGGACTCTTCTTAATGCATGGCTTCAGCGCCCCTGGGACTGGATCTTCGGCAAGTGGTGCGACGGACCCACCAATCTGTACGGTGTCCTCGACGGTCGGTCTTCTATACGGTTCGGTGGTGCCGCCGTCGGGGGTGGTGTCCTTTGTCGCTGTGTCCAGCCAGGTGATGACGCGTTCTTCATTCTCGGTGCCATGTGTGCTATCGGTTTCTCTTCTATCTTCTATTTGCGGGTCCTCTTGGTCCTCATCTTCGCTATCTTGCTCTTCCATTCGTATCTTCGCCCTTATAGTCTTCTCTAATTCTTCATATAACGCCGCCAGGCGCTTCTTCTTTGCTGCTCTTCGTGCAGCTATCTTCGATTCTGTTCGGTGTGATGTCATTGCAGCTGATGGCGACTTCGGCGGTTGGTCGTGGCGCAGCGGGTACGGTGGCCGCGTCACGGTGTCGCTCCCTTCCGATGGCGCTCTTGACGGGGGTTGGACAGGATTCTCTCCTGCAGCGGTTCGCTCTGGCTCTTCGATGCTTCTCTCGATGCGCTCCTCTTCGGCCTGGTCCATTCTGTCAGCTTGAGATCTTGTTCGTGGCATTTTTCTTTCTTCAATCTTCTATAATTTTTCTTCAATTTTCTGTCTTCAATCTTCTATAATTGACCACGACGATCTTCTTTCTTCAATCTTCTATAATTTTTCTTCAATTTTCTGTCTTCAATCTTCTATAATTGACCACGACGATCTTCTTTCTTCAATCTTCTATAATTTTTCTTCAATTCTTCCTCGGCGCTGTAGATCCGGCTCGAAGGACCAAAAAATGTACGGGACGCCGGGCTGTCGCAGTAGCGGACAGTTACCGACTCGTACTGAGGGGGTGGAGGAAGTTACACGCAGGAGTCTTGACTGTAGTGGACTGTAGTTTCGGCGAATAAAACCCCTGGTGTTCGGTATTGAAGAAATCGGTGGGCGCTGATAATGGATGGCCGGTGAGAGGAGGCTTCAGGTCCAGAGTGAACCGCTTGGTTGTTTCTTCCTGTTCCTTAGGGTAGGAGCGCCTGTCGCTGAATGCATGTCGGGGCATGTTCCGACTCGAATTTTATATGCTAGGACTGAGCTGGCCAGCGATCCATTACCTCACCCACGCTATACTTTATTTTTCATTTTCTCAAGATTTACAATAGTGCGAGCTTAAAACTAATTGTACATACATCGGGCATACATTTGGGCATATTTTTAACATAGTTATGTGTCCGTAAACACGATATTTTAGGTGTGGCGCGCAAAAAATAGGTCTCCGCAATATTTATACTTTCCCCCTCCATAGGGCTTCGCCCTGCCACGGGGCTTCGCTGCCCCACCCGCGCGCTCCGGGCGCGCCGGGTGGGGAGCGCAACATGTCTCAAAAAACGGTTCTATACAAACATGTTTTTTCTCCTACACAGTACATTTTTACACTTATTGATGCGATACCTATTTATTTACGTAGCCCTACGTGTTACCTATCTAATACAACAAGTTTCTTACAAGAATATTAATAAACAACAGCTGTACGGCCCTATAAAGTTTGCAAATTAAAAAGTCTTAAAAAACCTACTTATACTCGCTTAATGTTTAACTATCATACACCATTTTAAAGAAGAAGTAAAAACACATAAAATGACATCATTGTTATAACAATTATACCTATATCCTATTGACTATTCATAAAAAACTATTCCCGATATTTTCCTTAATTACGCTTAAACTACTAACACGATTCATACAAAACTTCGATATATTATTCCTATAACTACCTACTATCTAATAAGACATAAAATAAATCAATCAAAACATAAAACATACTATTATCGAAAATTGTCAACTCAGGCAAAATCCTATAAGACGTGTGACAAGGACAACCTATTGTCTCCGTCCCTCCTATAGGTCGGAACTATCAGTATTCTGACTAGTTTCCCCGCGCCACCGCTTGGCGTCGTGGCGATCGTTTAGATAAAGTCTTATAAGATTATTGGAGAGAACGGGGCGGAATATCGCTCTGAACTATCAATTTTACAATGGTTTACTATGGGCAGAGCTATCTATTGTTGCGATATCCGACTCATTCTAATAAGACAACAAGGGAATGATAATTTTAATGCGTATACAACCGATTCATGTGAAATTATAGATACATTTTTATACATTGTTCTCATATTGTCGTAAGTCATCTCTTCTCGCTTCGGTCGTAAGGCGGTCGTCTCGTACATAAATGAAACATATAAACTTTAGATAGTTTTATGCAATGTCGCCATTTTACCCGGGTATTGTTAAAGAAAAGAGCTATATTTATCTTAAACAATTTCCGAGTAAAATTGAGTCTAGCTGGTGGAGGAAAAATGCATTATCAATAAGAAAATCATTGCTGAAAAGCCGTTGTACCAGTATTTTAGTTCTTAGTTCTTGCGTGAATACTCACGTCTAGTTAGTAGTAGATCAAGGATCTATTGCAGCAGTATTCAGAATAATTTGTTATTTAAATCGACTACATATCGGTGAACACGCGATTACGTATTTATGTTTTTTTTCTTATCTCATGGTTATGATTTCAAAGTTATTTGCTAAAGGTGTACATTACACCGGTCATCTTTACTCTCGATAGAAACATTTAGAAACTGGGTTATTTGTGTACCTTTTGTCTCTGAGGAAGTTGAATAACCTCTATTAATGACTATATCGCAAAATGAGTACAAATCATTTCGTCTAGATTTTAATTGACTACATCGCATAATGCCTAAGATCGCAAAATGACTAGATCTTTATTTGACCACATGAAATAATGACTAGATCGTTAAATGACTACATCTTTATTTGACCACATCTTACAATGACTAGATCTTTACTTGAACACATGAAATAATGACTAGATCGCAAAATGACTATATCTTTATTTGACCACATCTTACAATGACTAGGTCGCAAAATGACTAGTTCTTTATTTTAATATATGAAATAATGACTAGATCGCCTGTTTCATGTGCGCGATATGTTCTTTGACGTGTACCCATATTAAATATGAAACTGTTTGTTACAGTGCGCTCAGGTGGCAACAAATGTGGTAGAGCAGAAGCACCAGGTGTCGAGGGCGACTAGAAGCCGTGCCCTCGGCAGTAGGGCCTTCCGTGGGAGCACCGTTTGGTTTACAGGGCTCAGTGGAGCCGGCAAGACCAGCATCGCCTTTGCGCTCGAGGCTTACTTGGTCTCCAAAGGTAAGAAATAGCTATGCATGAATTCATTATGTAACGAATGTGGTGAAGCACAAGCACTAAGGATCGAGGGCGACCAGAAGCCGCGCCCTTGGCAGCAGGGCCTTCCGCGGGAGCACCGCTTGGCTCATCACTGGTCTCAGCGCGGCCGTTAAGACCGGCATAGCCTTCGCGCTCGAGGCGTACTTGGTCTCCAAAGGTAAGTTTATGACATTATATTCAAAGTGAGCAACAAATATGGTGAAGCAGAAACACCAAGTGTCGAGGGCAACCACAAGCCGCGTCCTTGGCAGCAGAGCTTTCCGCGGGAGCACCGTTTGGTTCACAGGGCTCCTTGGAGCCGATAAGACCAGCATCGCCTCTGCGCTCGAGGCTTACTTGGTCTCCAAAGGTAAATTGTTACTGTGCAATGAATTTAATATGTCCAACAAATGTGGTGAAGCAACAGACCAAGTGTCGAGGGTGACCAGAAGTTGTACCCTCAGCAATAGGGACTTCCGCGGGTGCACCAGGGCTCAGTGGAGCCAGCAAGATCAGCAAAGCCTTTGCGCTCGATGTGTACCTTGTTTCATAAGGTAAGATATCGCTATGCACTGGATTCAATGAGTCGAGCTTTATGCTACAATATTATTCCATGATGGAATAATATTTATATTCGATGGAATTTCCATCAACATTATGTTTATTCAGCAGGAAAACCTTAACGTATTTAATCAATAAATCTATCAATAGTTAATTACTACGTAATATATGGTAATGTTACACGATTCCATGTGCGTAAATATGAATCACGTAATTGTATGTAACATAAAAGACGAGTACAGGTGTACGTAATGTAATTTAAAACGCGCCTATGTAAACTGATACTATCAATACTAAATAATGGTCCGATTAAGTTCAATAATAGTAGTTTATGTGACTTTCATATAAGAGGGGGTATTTAGAGGAGATTCGGGCAATGTTTTTTCCATACAAACGTTCTCACTGATTCCACCTTGATTTTTATCACTAAAGAATTGATTTTCATAAAATATAATTTTATACATTTTGTGCTCCTGTGTCTTCCTATTTTCGATAACTTGTGTTTCAAAGAAACTAATAGCGCTCAAAATGCCAAAATAAACAAATTTTTATCACCACTAAAGACGTCTAGCGTAGAGATTTAATAAGCATTTACAAAAAAGCAAAACATAGAGGCATAGTAGTCCAGTCAATGAAGGCTTAACTTTGCCATTTTGAGTTGATCACCTGCAACCAACGCGAAAATTTCCGCAAGGGTTCGTAGATTAATATACTAAAATTGAGGGTGCTGCATTGACGGCAAAGGGTGAAAAAAAAATGCGAAATGGTGCAAAAACGAGTTTTTCGTCAATATCTCGCGACTGGCTGGAAAAATAGAAAAAGTTTGTAGCACAAAGTTGTAGAAAATTTAATTTCCTACAAAAAAGGTATCAACTTATTTTCGCGTATCTCCCATAGTTTTTACACAAAATGCAATTAAAGGTGCAAAATAAAAAAAGAAAAAATATTGTTTATGGTTTTTTTTCCCATTTTTAAACGATCCTACGGGGCAAATTCAAGAATCACCAATTACTGAAATATTTAAGGATGAGTTTTCGGCAGTCCACTGAAATGAAAATTGTCTACCGAAATGGTAAAAAAATTACCACCGAAATGATACAGCCAAGAACATCGCCTTTGTAGTAGAAGGGTTCCCTATTTTGAATTTAAATAAATGTCTTTATTCTTTGTAAATATTTTTGTTCATTATTTTTTAATAAGAATTATTAATGAAGTATTAATTAATTGTTACTCCTATTAAATATTATTACTAATTATAATTATTAATATGTACATTTTCAAAATAACGAACAAAGCGCGTTTAGAAAGCGAGAAGTTTATTATTAGTAAATCGTCCCCTTAGTGCCAAAACCGATTATCTGCACTTTTCCGCTACTGAATTTTTATAATACCAATCGACCCGTCTCATTAAGCCGCATCTACAGGTAAAACCCATTATGCTCTACGACGCATACTTCCTGAAATAGCTAATGAATAAACAAAATAACTGCAAATTATTTCCAAAATTTTTGATATAAAACCTAATAAACCCATTCAAAACACTTAAATTTGTAAACGTATTAATTGTTGAAATCAAGTTTCGGATTTAAACTCATTTTTCATGTAGACACTTAAAATATCCTGTGAGTATCCTGTAATTGGCTTTGACTTGACTGTTTGAATTTTACCAGATATTTTAATTTTACTAGATGAAGTAAAAACTAAAAAACCTGTCGCTTTTTGAAAAAAAAAATATATAGAATTTTTGCGTTATATTTGAGGCAAGTAAAAGAAGATACCGAATTTTAATTTGTTTTTACTGAATAACTTTTATTTGACGCTTTATAAATTACTTCAGCTAAAATCGATTATCAGTGCTTACTCTTTTCTTCCACTGTAATTTATTAGCGTTAGTCATCGTTACTTACAAAATTTATGCTTCAGCTAAAACCAGTTATCCATGTTTAACCGTCTCTTCCGTACACAGATCGTGCGCTAGCCAGTGAGTTGCTCACTTTTATTCATTCATTGTTGAATCGCGCGCTGGGCAACACTGTTATTCTTTTGTTTAATTAATCACTAATAAACATTACTGGGTGAACTATTCTGCGTATTTAGTTTAAAATGATGACTACTAAGAAAGATGACGAAAAATATAGTTAAAAAAAAATATTTAATTTTATTATATGATAATTTAATTTTACCATTTCTTTTTCTTTCATCGTGTTCAGCGCAAAATTTACGTTTAAAACATATATTTGCAATATGTATTATCATTATCATATAATAAAATTTAAATATTTTTTTTGGCAAGATTATTATATGAAAAAAGGAAATAATAAATAAATAAATACCCGAAACATGTTAATTAAATCCTAATGAAGCATGTAGGGGTAAACTCCCCGAACAAAAAAAAATTACCCGGTATTCCTCAGAGCGGCAGTGCAATGTGCTGATTTATGATTTTGTATTTTTTCTTGGTTAAGTAGGTACTTCTCAACCTTGGCAAAAATAATTATTGAGTAATGGGCTCTAAATCCATAAAATAAAAAAATACGAAGTGGCATTTTATCATCACGGTGACCTGTTCTAAACCCAATTCCTCTCGTAAAATTACTACCCCTGTAGTTACTTTTATTTTTTGGATTGAAATTAACTTTTATATCAATCTAATATATATAAATTCTCATGTCGCGGTGTTTGTGGTTAAACTCCTCCGAAACGGCTTTTCCGATTCTCATGAAATTTTGTGTGCATATTGGGTAGGTCTGAGAATCGGACAACACCTATTTTTCATCCCCCTAAATATTGAGGGTAATCCACCCCAAAATTTTTTTTTTCAATTTTAGATATAATTTTTTAATTTTCTTATGATACATCATTCAAAAATACATACAACCCTAAATTTTCACCCTTCTACCACCAACCCCTATTTTTTTATGGCGGTACGAAGTTCGCTGGGTCAGCTAGTAATATATAATATAGCCTATCAACAAAAACCACTATTGTTTGTTTACCTTCTTTCTTATACATGTAACAAGCACACAACTTTTGTCCTGGAAAAAGTTATCATTTCCATGGACAGTAAGTTTTTGTGAAATAGGTTCGTTAACATTGTGTTGTTGTATCCCGCTTGTCAGTGCTCCCTTCGAGCCAGGCCGCCTTAGGTGGATCACACGTACGCGCAACAACGTCATTGTGGATTCCCGCCAAATAGTAAGCATACCATTTCAGTGATATGGGGACAATTGAGCTAGTTTTATATATGTAAATGTATTTTTATTTTATTTTTATTTATGAATATTATGTTCTATATATATATCTCTGTGTGTGTATGTATGTGTACGTGCTGTGTATGAATATATATGCGTATCTGTGGATGTGCGTGCATGTACGAGTATGTATATACAGTTAATGTGCAATTGTCTGACGTGTGCCTAAGATGTAATTTTATAATTTTTCAAAATTTAAATGTCCAAATATCCTTCTTTTTTTTTGTTCTTATTTTATTTTTATTATTAAGTATTCTTTTATAATCGACGACCTCCGTGGCCGAGTGGTTTGTACGCCGGGTTTCATGGTGTCGCCGACTCGAGAGGTCCCGGGTTCGAATCCCGGTGGGGGCAGATGTTTGTGTGATGAACACGAGCATTTGTACTCCAGTCATGGATGTTTAATATGTATTTCTATATAAATATACTTATATATGTAAAGTATGTGTATTCTATCCGTTACCCTAGTATCCCATAACACAAGCCTTATAGCGCTTACTTTGGGGCTAGGCTAATTGGTGTGAGTGTTGGAAATATTTATTATTATTATTATAATGATGTCGATTATGGCGTAATTCTCTAGGGCTAGTCTTGGGTTTGACAGCCGTGCATTCCTGTCATTCTCTATACAGAATGAAGGGGAGGGACTGGTGTTGAATTTGGTTTTGGGTTCGGAGAGTCACGCCAGAATCGATACCAAGTATTTATGTTATTTTGTTTACTATAGCGCCTAACACGTCCTCAAACAGGCCCTGCCAGAATACCAGCGCTGATACAGTGAGAGAATATTTTCTCATTGTATCAGCATAAGCTGAGGCAGGGTCCTGATTGGCCATTTTAAATGTAATGATTAATTTTTGTTCTTAGGTTAAGTTTCTTTTTTATATATTTTTTTTCCTGTTCCTTATACCATGGCCAATAAAGATTTTTCATTTCATTTCATTTCATTCGGTGGACTGTAATGCCGATAAGAGTCCAGGGAATGAAGGTATCGCCGATATGATACATCCATAAGTTTTTAGAGATCCTTGAGTCAATATAGGTATATTAAATAATTTCGGTTTGTGATGTACGTTTACCGAGAAACTGTAGGTTCGATATTTCGGATGCAGTAGTATTTCAATCTAAAATTTCAAGTTTAAAAATGTATATTAAAGTTAAAGCGGATGA